CCCCGCGAAGGGACCAGGCCAATGCGAGGTCGCGCCCGCTCAGCCCTGGTCCAGGTTCGTTTTCAAAGAGGGCAGCCAAGTGCCTGCGGCTACTGCGGCCTGAGACGCGACTGGCATCCTGCCCCAGCAGGCCGGATGGGCAGACGTTGTCGCCCGACGAGCCCCGCAGAGCTCGGGTGGAACAGCTGCGGGCGCAGTCAGTGGCCGGGCCCATGGGACGCGAGCTTCCACCATCAGGTCACTGTCGCGCTGCCGTCCGCCCGGGGCCGCGCGAGAGCAGCCCAGGGCCAGGGGGTGCACGGCGTGCCTGTCGCAGCCTCGGAGGTGACCTCATCGCTCGGCTCCACGGGGCACACGGCCGCCACCACGCCGGACCTGGTCCCGCGCCTTGCCCTTCAGCTGGGGGGGTTCTGCCCCGGGCGAGGCTGTCTGGCTGGCGCAGCGCCTTGCCGGTCCTGAATGCCTCGCAGCGCGGCCCGCGGGGCGGCAGGGCAGCTGCGCGCACCTTTTGCACGGGGCGGGCCCTGCCGACGCCGGCGAGTCCTTCCGCCCCATTATGGCGAAGGCCCAGCTCGGCCTGCTCCAGGAGACAAGTGTGCACTGCAAGCTGCGGGGGCCGGTCTGGACCTCCGCCCTCCCAGGTCAAAGCGGGCACGCCCGCGACGCCGGCGACGCCCACCTCGCCCTCGATGAGATTGCGGCGGAAGCAGTGGGCAGCAAGCGGCCTCCGTTGGTCATTTTCGGGGACCTTCAGAAAGCCCCTCCCTGGACCTGGAGGGGGGCGCTGCTGCAGAAGCTCTTCCAGCACACCAGGATGGGCCCAGGCATGCCCCCCCCCTCGACAGCACGCCTGCGTCGGACGCAGCTCACGTCAACTTCGCGGGCGTGGAGGTCGCCACTATCACGGAGGACATCGCGGAGGGGGGGTCCATCAGACCGCCCACCTCCCCCGTGGACATGGACCCCCTGGCTGAGGCTCTGCGCCAGTGAGGCCGCGGCGCGGGCCTCGGCATCCGCACCTCGGTGCGCTGGCCAAGGCACGTCTGACAGGGAGCGGGCGCCCCCGTTGCCGAGGCCACGGCCACTCCCCTCAGCGCCCTGCGCCGAGGAGGCCCCCCCCTCCTCTGCAGAACTCGCGGAAGACGTCAACCTGGAAGCGTCGGCCTTGGCGGCCCTGGACCTGGCTGCCCCCCGCCGCCTCGCCGCCACCCCATGCGCCGACGACCCCGCCCTGCTCGTTTCCTCCCGCGGCGCTGCGCAACACTCCCTTCGAGCGCACGCGGACTGGGCGCACGCCTGGAAGGCATCCCCGCGCACGAAAGCCGCTAAGCATGCAGTGGCTGCGCATGGGGGGCCGCGGGCCAGGGAGGCGGGGATGGGCTCTCAGCCGCCCCCCTCCCCGCTGAGGGGCCCCCCTGTGGCCCAAGTCGGCTTCGCCGCGGGCCACAAGTGGCTCGGGCTCGACGGCCGGGGGACTTGCATCTGAGCCACGTCCTGAATGTGAAGCTCGGAGTGGCCCTCGCGCAGTCTGCCGCCCTCGCAGGCCACGTCGCCGCGGGGCCCCCCCGGCAAATCTTCGAGCGGCAAGCGGAGGGCCCCCTGCGGATCGGATGGTGGCTCTGGGCCACGGCAGACGGGGCCCTTGGCCGGCAGGATTCTGCCCGCGAAAGCTGGGCGCGGGCCTTCCACGGGCCCCCCCGGAGCGGCGCGCAGGCGCGCTCCGAGTTGGGCTGGTCACTTACAGGCTCGGCGCGTTTTTCTGGGCATCGCCTCGCGCCGCGCGATCCTGCGGCCCCTCCCGGAGGGGGATCCATACTACGGCGTCCGCGCCCACTCGGTCCCAGGCCCCTCGCGGGCCCCTGCTTTCCTCACCCTGCTCGACGCCTGGCCCCTCCCCGACTGGCCTGCGCGGCGCGCCGGCCACGGGGAAGGCACCCTGCTGCAGCACAAGGAGGCCATCCGCACTGGGTCAGCGAGTCGGAGCGAGTCCCTGCTCCGCGCCCGCCTGTCGCCCAGGAGGCGCGCGCTGCCCCCACCTCTCGTTGGGGCTGGTGCCGCGGCCAGACCTGGCCCGAGCCTCGGCCCAGGCAGTTACGGGCGAAATGTTTGCGGGCCAGGTCTCTCACCCGCCTGGCGGCGCCGGCTGCCGGCACTGCGCCACGCCTCCAGGGCCCCGTCGAAGGCTCGGCGGCAGGTATGCCTCTTCTGTCAAGGCCAAGTCCTAAGTCCGCTCTTCCACGTCCTCGGAAGCTGCAGTCGCACCCAAGGCCGTCGCGCTGCCTTCTGGACCGCGCGCGGCCTCCTCGAGCCGCCCTCCCGCGAGGCCGCGGCCCAGGACATTCTCAGCGTGCTGCCAGGAGAGCCAGGATACCCCCAGGCGGTGTCATTGGCGCAGTGACTTGTGGAGACGGCGGGGGCCTTCTGGCGAAAAAGACTCCCCAACCTCCCTCCTGGCCCTCCCTCCCGCCCCCCTGCCTCCAGCCGCGCTGGTTGGTCCTGGGCCGGGCCGGGTTTGGGGCGCGCGGGCTCAGCCAGGGATGCATCCTCCCCCCGGGTGGCTCCCTCCCCCATCCATTGCCGGTGTCTCGCACTTGCGTCTCCTCGCCGTGCGCTGACCAGTGCAGCGGTTAGGGAGTCGGGCTGAGCCCCAAGCGCGGGCAACCGTACGCTGTCGGCGGCCCCGTCTGGTCTGCCCCACTCCATGCGGTCAGGTCGAGTCGCCCGTTTAGCTGTCAACCATTCGAGGGGTTCCAGCAGAGGGCCTCCGCCTGGTCGCTGCAGGGTCGCTTGCGTCGCCCTCCCCTGGGCCCGCTGCCCCCTGCAGAAAAGGGACCACGCCCGAGGTCTCCGCATGCCGCCCCAGCGGGAGGGACGCCAGCCAGCCAGCGTCTTTCATCCCTCCTCCTTTCGCCCTCCTAGGATGCTCGAATGCTCCAGGGTCTCAGGGCGCACGCACCTCTGCTTCAGCCACAACTGGCCAGTGCCATGCGCCAGCTCATCAAAATCATCATCATCATCATCATCATCATCATCATCATCATCATCATCATCATCATCATCATCATCATCATCATCATCATCATCATCATCATCATCATCATCATCATCATCATCATCATCATCATCATCATCATCATCATCATCATCATCATCATCATCATCATCATCATCATCATCATAATCAGCATCATCATCATCATCATCATCATCATCATCATCATCATCATCATCATCATAATCATCATCAGCATCATCATCATCGTCATCGTCATCGTCATCGTCATCGTCGTCGGCGTCATCATTCTCATCATCATCTTCGTCATCATCATCATCGTCATCATCATCATCACGACCACCACCATCATCATCATCATCAGCATCATCATCCTCGTCATCATCATCATCATCATCATCGTCATCACCATCGTCATCATCATCACCAACATCATCATCGCCATCGTCATCGTCATCATCAGCACCCGCAGCATCGTCATCATCACCAGCATCGTCATCGTCAGTGGCATCGGTATCGTCATCGTCTTCATTATCAGAATCGTCGTCATCATAATCAGCATAGTTGTCGCCGTCATCGTGATCGTCATCCGCATTATCATCATCACCACCACCGCCATCATCATCATCAACATCATCAATATCATCATCACCACCATCATCATCATCGACATTGGCATCATCCTCGTCCTCATCATCAGCATCATCATGATCAGCATCAGCGTCGCCGTGTTCAATAGCGTAATCATTCTCACCATTAACAGAAGCAGTATCATCATCATCAGCAGCAGCATCATCAGCATCACCACCACCATCGTCATCAGCATCACCAGCATCATCGGCGGCATCGCCATCGTCCTCGTAATCGTCGTCAACACCGTCATCGTCGTCACCATCATCATCAGCATCCTCATCATTATCCGTATCATCATCATCATCATCATCATCATCATCATCATCATCATCATCATCATCATCATCATCATCATCATCATCGTCATCATCATCATCAGAATCCTCATCGCCGTCGTCATCATCAGCATCCCCGTCATCATCAGCATCAGTATCATCATTATCGTCATCATCATCACCGGCATCATCATCACCAGCATCATCATCAGCATCATCCTATTCATCATAATCGTCATCGTCATCGTCATCGACGGTCCGTCAGTCCGTCCATCCAAACGTCCGCCCATCCATCTGCCCATCCGTCCATCCATCCTCCTCCGTAGCCCTCCATCCTCATCCATCCTCCTTCCTCCTCCCCTCCGCATCCTCCTCCTCCTCCCCCTGCTCCTCCATTCTCTGCTCCTCCTTCTCCATCTCCTTCTCCTCCTCCTTCTCCTACGCCTCCTCCTCCTTCATCATCCTGCTTGTCCTCCCAGTCCTCCGTCTCCTCCTCCCCGCCTCCTCGTCCTCCTCCTCCTCCTCCTCCTCCTCCTCCTCCTCCTCCTCCTCCTCCGTCTCCTCCTCCTCCTCCTCATCCGCATCCTCGTCATCACCATCCTCATCATCATCATAATCAGCATCATCATCATCATCATCATCATCATCATCATCATCATCATCACCATCATCATCATCACCATCATCATCATCATCATCAGCATCATCATCATCATCATCATGATCATCATCATCATCATCATCATCATCATCATCATCATCATCATCATCATCATCATCATCGCATCATCATCATCACATCATCATCATCATCATCATCATCATCATCATCATCATCATCATCATCATCATCATCATCATCATCATCATCATTTTCATCATCATCATCATCATCATCATCATCAGCAGCAGCAGCAGCACCATCATCATCATTGTAATCCTCATCCTCATCCTCATCCTCACCCTCATGTCCATCCTCCTCCTCCTCCTCCTCGTCCTCCTCCTTCTCCTCCTACTCCGTCATCCTCCTCCTCCTCCCCCTCCCCCTCCCTCCCTCCCACCCTCCCTTCTCCCTCCGCCCTCTCCCCATGGCGGGAGACGACACCACAGCGTGCGGGGGCGCAGCGACAGGCGAGGTCAGCGCTCATTGTGTAGCGTCTCCCTGGCGGGTCGCAAGCACTGGGCGCAGAACTCCTGGGGGGCAAGACGGGAGTCCTCCTCCTCCTCCTCCTTCTCCTCCTCCTCCTTCTCCTCCTCCTCTTCGTTTTCTCATTCTTATGGTATTATGATTGTGTGCCCTTAATTATCGTATGCTTCGTCGTATTATTCTTCTTATGAGTATACTGATGACTCGTTTTCTTTTCATTGTTCTTGTGGCTATCAGTATTATGAACATTATTATTATTATTAGTATTATTATTATTATTATGATTATTATTATTATTATTATTAGTAGTAGTAGTAGTAGTAGTAGTAGTAGTAGTAGTGTATTGCTTGTCTTATCAGTCTTCACGGTGGTCGAAATATCACTAGTAGTACCATTATTCAAATGCTTCTCAATATAAGTGTCCTTAGTGTACGTATTATTATTCTTAGTACGCACATTATTGACTTGACTACCCGTACCATTGTTCTTATGATTAGTAGTAGTGGTAGTAGTAGTAGTAGTAGTAGTAGTAGTATTTGTCTTAGCCATATAAGTGCCCTGATGATTATGATGCATGTATTATTACTATACTATTAATATTAGTAGTTTTACTCCTCCTCATCATCATCATCACCATCACAAGCATCACCATCATGATCATCATCATTATCATTAGCAGCATCAGCATCATCATCATCATCATCATCATCATCACCATCATCATCATCATCATCATCATCATCATCATCATCACCATCACCATCATCATCAACATCAGCATCATCATCGTTTTCCTCCTCCTCCTCCTCTTCCTCTTCCTCCTCCTCTTCCTCCTCCTCCTCTTCCTCCTCCTCCGCCCCGCTGCCTCCCTCCTGCTCCCCCCGAAGAGAGCCCCGCGTGCACGCCAGGGGGCCGCAGAGCTCCGCGAACGGCTGCGAGCTGCCGTCGCCGAGCCCGCCCAGGTGGAGCGCCCAGTACCTGCCACCGCGAGGCACGCCACCGCCACTCGAAGAACAAGAGACGGCACAAACATACAGGGCAGTTTTTCATACAGGGGATTTTTGTTTCAATGTAGGATTTTTTAATACATGATTGATTTATGAATGAATGTATGCATGAACTCATCGTTGCTTGTAATACTAAATCCCTGCATTTTTGATACATGATCCGCACGCGGAGCCTGTATTAAAAAACGGCACAAACATACGGTCAGGAACTTTTGCTTAGCGCGTCGCGGTGGCGGCCTCGGCGGCTTTTCTGATTCGCGGGTCGAGAGCGCACCTCTTCCCGTCGAAGCGAAGCGGGCCGCGCGAAGCTTGAATTTGGCAGAGATGGGGGAGGAAAAGGGGGGCGCAGCCTCAGAACGAGGCCGGGAGGAGGCAAAGCCTCGGAATCAGGCGGTGCCGAAGCCGACGAAACGGCACAAACATACGGTCAGGAACTTTTGCTCAGCGTGTCGCGGTGGCGGCCTCGGCGACACGCTACGCCTTACAAGCAGATATCATATCGCTCCGCTCCGTGGGGCGAGAGGCTGGGAAAGGCGAGCGACATTGACGGTCGCGGGCCGGGACGTGAATAGCATGCTGGGCCAGAAGAGGCGGAACGATACGCTATCCAAAACATACCGACCGTGGACATAAACTTTCGGAGTTCCGCGCGCATTCCCGGAAACGGCGCTGGACCCCCCTAGCTGCTCGAGCACGATGGCCCATTGGGACGGGAGGGATCGCCTCTAGATTCGAGTAAGACATCGGCATAAACATAACGTTTGGAGCTCCGCGCAGATTTCTCGGATCGGCGCTGGATCCCCAAGGCTGGTCGAGCGGAGTCGCCAAGTGGGACGGGAGGGGTCGCCTCTGAGGAGGACATCAGCATAAACACAAACGCTCGGAGCTTCGCGCAGATTTCTCGGATCGGCGCCAGACCCCCCTGGCGACGCCTCTGGCGCCGCCCCTGGCGCGCCCCGCGCGCCAGGAGAGGGGGCCCAGCGCCGACCCGAGAAATCCGCGCGGACACCTCGGAAAGTCTACGTTTACTGAAGGGGCCCTGAGACACACAAATAAATATACATATATATATATATATAGATATATATATATATATATATATACACACAAATAACAAGATTCCCCATATCTTCGTATGCTTTCTGGGTTCTTGCCTTCGCCCCCACCTCCCACACTTCCCCCTATTCTCCGAGGATATCGAGGATGCCTTGTGCCTGTGTGCTCCTTCCCCTCCTGCTCTACGCCTGGGAACTCTTGCGGAGAGCGCGCCGCCACGGCGGCCCCTGCGGCACGCCAGCCCAGGCGGACCCTGCGCGGCGTGCCGCTCCGCTCGGCGGGGCGGGCAGCTCCGGGAGATGCTCGGCACGGGGACGCCTCGGGGCCGCGAGGCGCCTCGCGCGTCGC